ATCGCTAATTTTCAATCTAGTAGTAAACTGCTGATGAACTTGATTAATTGCTGTTTGAAATTCTGTCAGAATCTTGAGATTTCATGACCCCATACTTTCTTCAAGATTTTACTATTTCATCAGGAAAAAGCAGTGAATCCTTGCCAGATCTGAAACGAACACTCCCAAGATTTTCCCTATAGAATATCTATTAATCTTTAAACATCAAATCAGTTGCCGTTACCGTAAAAGCCTACTGTACAATCTATTAGACTATTGAAAGAATCTGGATCATTCAATTGTTAAAATGATAAATCAATATGTCTGCGACATCGACTTACACACACTCACATGTGCAGCAAGAGTGTCCAAAAAAAGGAATATGTTAGTGATAAAGCAACTACTTTAAGTTGTTGATAGATCTATGTGTCCGTGTATAATCATCGTTGTTTTCCTTTCCAAGTCCATCTCTGCTATCTGATGCGCGATCTAACACAAAGTTTCTCCTTTTCGCACTATGTTTCAGATCGTTAACACTTAAAAGTGTAAAAACTAAACGTCTCTAATCTCTGCATCAGCAACTTCTATTTCTTTCTGGAATAATGTCGCTTGTCAAAAACACCACAACTCTCAGTATAGAAGAAAGCCGGTCTTCACCCTACCTAGTACTTCTGTATCTTTTTTCAATTTTTATGGTTTTCTCTATTCTCTGTTATGTTTTCATCTTATATTACTTCTTGCCGATGCCTTCAATTCGTCGTGCTCTCAACAATTATGTCATCATCCTTATGCTTATAACCAACTGTATTCAAACATCATTTTGACACAATTTTGCATTTTGATTATTATCGAAGATGTTTCTATTGGGCATCCAGTTTGACTTACTGTTTCTTTCTGTATGCGTTTCATTATATTATATATGAGATTGCTGCACTACTCATGGTATGTGTATCGATCAAACGACATGTTTTGATCTTCAACTTATCATTTTTCAATACGCGTCGTAGACGCATTTTTGACCATTATGTTCCGCTTGTATATTGTTTCATTTATCTGACTCTCTATTACACCTACTTTATTCTTTTTTATCGATATACCAGCTACTATGATATGAGTAGTTTAAATTGTTTCACTGCTTGCTTTCTTTGGACGAGTAATATAATGACTTTTTATGAGTTTATCTTCGGTGGTTTTGTGCGTACCTAAATGTCTTGTTGCCATCTTCAGTATTACACTTCTCGTGCGAGTTCTCTGGAAGAAACAACAGATGGGTTGACAGATGACGTGGCTAAAACATCGTAAGATGATCATACAACTACTCAGTATATCAACCACGTTTCTCATTTTTAATATTGGTTATTTTGTGCTTGTTCTTGTGCAAATGGTTTGGAGGCCTGACCTTCGGCACAAATCTGATGGCTTGAGTTTTGGCAGTGAATGTGTGCGCACCACAATTGATGTTGTCGTTTCTTTGTCTTGGTATTGTGCCAGATTTTCAACAAAAACTCGAAGGTCTAAGTCCATGGTCCCATCGTGCAGCCGTCCAACCGACCAATGTCCTGATATTATCAATGCAACCTCAGAGTAACAATACTAATAGACCAGTTGGAATCATACTTTTGGATACGCTTGAATGAACGCAGACATTTTGACTGAACATTCTGTTCTTTGTCATCTTGTCCCATTCCTTATTTAATAAATGAAGAAATCAAACCTATTTCATTTCAATGATTATTTTTTATATATTCATTAGAAGTATTTCATGATTTTGATTAAACGTAGAATATCAAATTCATTTCATTGAAGTTATTAGTTGTACGTAGACCTAGGGCAATTTCATTTTAGTTTCGATCTTAACGATCTATCACTAGTTCTTTTGGTAGAAACTGATTTGTTCATACGATTCTTTTGAACTTGAACTGTTTTATGTCTAGCTGTACATTATTTTCATTGCATAAATCTGACAAACAACAGGAAATCAAACTTATTTACTTTAGATGATCATAATTGCCTTGGATTCATGTTAAAATGTTCAGACATATAGACAGTGTTAATTCATTACGAGTTTGTTGATGTGGGTGTGTTAGGAGTAGAGCGACACTCACATTAGAAAAGTGTAGCATCTTTCTTAGGAGGGAACCACTCCAACTGATTCCGAGCTTTCGACTTCATCTTTTGGCTATAAGTAGGTTTCAGTGAGACTAAGAAAACCCTAGAAGCGTTCGTTCCTATGGTGTATTAGTGAAGAGTTATGACCTTTTTACTGGATTTTTTACTCGGGACAGGGTATTTCAGAAAACATTAAAACAAATAGTTTTGACCTGAAAGTTTCAAAGAAAATGAACGTGGCTTTCTTGAAATATTTAATTTCCAATGAACTTGGCAATTTGGTCTTCCTGTAATAAGAGGCTGTTTGTTTTGAAAAATGAATATCTCGAGAAAGGCACGTTCATTTTCTTTGAAATTGTCAGGACTTTCTAATAACTAGAAATCTCTCTATGGAGAAAATTTCAGGTCAAAATTATTTTTTTTAAGGTTTTTGGAAATACCCTGTTCCGAGTAAAAAATCCAGTAAAACGGCCATAACTCTTTACTAATACGCCATGAGAACAAACGTTTCTAGGGCTTTCTTAGTCACACTGAGGCCTATCTGTAGCCAAAAGATGAAGTCGAAAGCTCGGAATCAGTTGGAGTAGTTCCCTCGTTAGTGATATTTTCAATTTTATCCCTTATTCATATCGATATTACAAGCGTTGGCTACAAACGACAATTCGTATGACACGTGAGTCATCTGTGTTAGTGAATACTTCGGAGACAAAAACATGATTGAATTTTTCAGATAAGTAATGAATGTGGATGTATGGGTATGGGTATAACCTAACATCTTCTCTATCCACAGTGACAGCCACATCCACACCCAAAATGCATTAGTTTCACAGTACTAAACAATTTAAATACAGATCGTAAGTCGTTGGTATTTACAGTATTTACTCAGATGAAGAGATATAGTCGATATTTTAATAATAACATCAGAAGTCACTATACAATCTGTTTACCCTACATTATGTTTATTCAAATCACTCTTTTAAGTATTCATAAACGGACTATGCTTGTGGCAAAATATTTTTTTTTCTGGAGATATTTTTTCATAAAAATTCATTTGGAATCATTTACAAATTGCAAACATGAATCTTTGAGAAGATGTATCATCAACGTAACTTCCTTCGTTAGTAATGATTTGACGTTTTCAATCGATTTCATTAGAATTGATGTATCATATACTTATTCTAATTTATCATTGTTCCATATGAATTTGTTCACTTTCAAAGAGCCTCAACTCATCTTGTCAAATCATAAACAGATCAAGCAAATAATACATAAAAGAATCTCGAACTGCTGCTTGATAGTGATGAAAGACTTCGAATAAAAACTCGATATTTCCATTGATGAATATCCTATTGATGTCATGCATTCATGCTAAAAGAAAGGCAAAATCTTCGATTATAAAGAATTATTAGTGATACTATTTTTACTTGATTATAATCTGATTTAGTAGTCGTAAAATTTGAACTTATTTAATAAATTATATTAATTGAATAAATGATTCACAATATAGCTAAGATTTGAACATTCAAGCAATAACTGTTGAGAAAAATAAATACTTATCCGAAAAACTCATATCAAAAGTATGAACCAAAGTGACGATAAATTTAACAATGTTTATAGTTAAAAAGGCAGTTGAAATTACTTTTGACAGATGTTCACAAGATAATCATGATTATATAGCATTTTTAGAATCAATTTTATATAAGAGATTTAAAAAAAAACACATTGTTGAAATCAAAAAAGTGAATTGTCTGAGATTTCAATATTGTTTTTTTCTAAAACACGGCAATTTTACAGGTTTTGATGAATGTTCAGCATTTTATATTTTATTTTATCATAAAGAAGACTTCAAAAAATAGAAGCAACTAAAAACATTTTTGTGATCAAACTGAAAAATTTATTTGTATTGGTGTTTTATTTAATGAAAAGATAAAAATTTGTTATCATTTTACATAACTCGCATCTTGTCATTATGAATCATATGTTTTGATCACCTTACATTATTAATTTAGCCTTGAAACAACATTAAATAGTAATAGATTGACGACAAGTAAAACCACAGGATTTATGATCAATAATCATAAAATTCGAAAAACGTTATTTCTAACTATCTTTCTCTTGAATGTATGTCAAAATAAGTTTTTTGATGAGTTTTCATTTTAGTCATTATGAACATTAACAACTTCAAAATTTCACACTTGATAGAATATTACATTTTGCTATCAAACGAACCAATGTTTTTTTTTTTGTTTATATTTTTGAGTAAGAATGTGTAGATACGGTTTCATACTAATTATCGATTTTTTTTGTTAATGATGGTTGTATTCGAATAATTGTCATCAAATGGCTTGACCATGAATTTACATACAGTAAACAGAGTTATTTTTTTCTCTTACCTTTCCTTTACATTATAAACAACACAACGAGTCTGTTTGATAAATGACAACGTGCTTCTGTTCTTGTTTACACCACAGCTATTGTAAGTCTTATATCTACGCATCATTGATAGATGTACGGATAACTCAGAGGCAAACATAATAAATCAATTGTATTGTATGATCATAGACCTTGCAATAAGGAATAAATATCGGCATCCCATTTTTCTAGCAGACTATGCTGTCTTCTTTTTTCTTTTTCTCTTTCCTTTTTTTTACCTTTCTCTTATATTTTGTGATATGTAAGCGATACGGCTCACCTATTAAAATCAGCACCACATGTCTTTGATCAACCATTTGACGCCGACAATTATTGTAATCAATCGAATAAAAGTGAGTTGATTCTATAAGGCTTAAATTGAAGGCCGTAGTTTGCTTTGTTAGTAAAGAAATAATGATACTTCTTTTTTTTTTATCATATAAATCTTACTATATTAATTCTAGGCACTATATTAGCTGTCCAACGACAAATAAAGAGACATGGGCAATAGAAAAAGCTCTCGTGCTACTCTTCCGCCACCACCACCTCCTCCGCCTCCTTTTCCTGAGTATAATATGATGAATACAGAAAGTAAACTTTTATAACTTTTGTTGTCTTCCACATACACATATATAACATTATTTTGGTTTCTTATTACCTAGCTACTTTGACTCCAACAACTATTTATCCACCACGTCGACGTCAACGAAGCCGAGTTCTTCCTAAAATTCGTGCTATTTTTATACCCCAGGCTCCTCCTATGGGAATTTGGTAAGGTCATTTATGTAATGTTATGCAATAAGACTTTAAACGAGTTCTTCATTTCTTGCTTAATAGCGCTTTACCAATGACTTGTGCAGTACCCGTAGCAAACCCCTGTGCCAATCTCGGTAATAAAATTCCAATCGAATTTCTAGTATTTTTTCTAATCAATATATATTTTTTTCGTTTTCATTGTAGGTATCGCAGGATATGGAGGATATGGATATGGAGGATACGGATATGGAGGATACGGAGGATATGGAGGATACGGAGGATATGGAGGATATGGAGGATACGGCGGATACGGAGGATACGGATGCTGCTGTTATTTCTAAGCCGTGGTGATGCTTTATCATTGATGAACCATTCATATTCATCGTAAGCACTTGAGTAGAATCGGTATATATTTCATATTCTTGCGACAACGCCCCCGTACATATCATTCATTTGAGTTTTTGCATCAAAATCAGTGAACTGTAACTGATGTCTTGATTTGTAAATATTTGTAATTCTGTCTAACCAATGAATACAATTGTTAACTGATATGTACTTGAATTTAGGTTTGGTGGACGGACGATAAATCAGCGAACTTTCAGATGTCTATCGATGAACTGATGCTCCTCTCGGTAAATTTTTGAATATATTCTCTTGTTTTTATTTATCTTTGAACTTATAATGAGTAATTCATTCTTTTCTCGTATATTTCAAGTGATTTATTGCTACATGTAGGTTTATGAGGCACATGCAGTGCATTATGCGCATCGCCACTATCAAGACTAATTCCGATTCTAGTTCACCAAAAATGTAAGAATACTTTCGCATATACAGAATCCCTTATGTTCTTGCGTCTAATGCTGGATCCCGTTTCATAATTACTGAGTTTACCATCATCATGCCTTGGAGTACCTTTCAATGAACAGTTACTTTGTTGACTCTCTGGCCAATAAACATTTTAGCTATACTAATCGTTCAATATGTTTTTCTTTTACTTCATTTTGTCTCTGTTATGAGGATATATTCTGTTTGATTTTTTTTTCTTGGGTTTACTGACTTATGAAAAATATTTAAATCCTTACTCCATAATAGTCGAATGCGATCTATTCACTCTTTATAAATATAAAAACAAACAAATTACAAATCACACACAGTTTAACAAATAAGATGTTAAGACATAATCAACGAATTTTCTTTTTTTCAAATTGCTCTAATAATTTTTTTTTGTACTTTTTTCTTTTTGTGTATATTTCTTACACTCTAGCAACTATTTTGGACATGCATTTAATTGATTGGTATTTTATAATGAATACTCAGTATGTTTCTTATCAAACAATGAGTACTTTTTGATCAGTAAAAAGTTATTTTTAGCACAGTAAACAATTCGAAAGCTCAGTAATTAATTTAGTAAAATTCAGTATTTAATTTTCTTTTGATCACTTTTTTATTAACTTGTTTCAGTAAAAATAGTATAATTACAAATAACAGAAATTTATTGAATGAGTAATGCTTTTTTGGTTTTGGATGGTCTACCACAACGTCTCTTTCCATCAATCTTAACATCTTTAGCAGCTGATGGTGGTGTGCAGTAGTTTAATCTAATTATCATACTGACAACATGCTTACACATATTTTTTTTTTGAAAAATGCTGGACAACTGCAGGCACGATCTAACCATTATAATTTAGCTACCGGTATAAAACTAAGAAAAGGACAGAAAAGAAGAAAACAAAAAAATATTTTGACTGATGATGTTATCATCAGTCAACGAAGAGAACCATTTTTCTATTTACAACAAAATATTTTCATCGAAAAAATAAAAATGAGTACTAATCGAATACTATTCATTTAATGAGTAAATGAATCTTTAAATGAGCAAACTCCATTAGTTACTGTTACTTTAATTTTAATATTGAATAAATTATTAATTTACTGAGCAAACATAATAGTTACTGAACATCTGATTTTACTGTTAGTTTGACTTCTGTACTGATAATTTGTATATAATACTGAACAATTATTACGGATCATTTAATTTGAATTTAACACAAAAAAAAAAAGAAGAAAATAGTTCGATCACTAAATCCTATTGCAAGAAGTGTCATGGAACCTAAAGAAAAAGAAAGAAAATTCCAGTAGGTAAACCTTCTTGGTTTTTCTCAGACAGTGCTGAGCAATACTCGAAATAACGACATGAGGAGAAAAAAAGGGTGAGAGTAGGGATGTCGCCAAAAAACAGGTTCTTATTTTTCATTTTTTTATGTCAAGAATATGAAAAAGCAAATATGTTCAAATAGACGTGTTTTTCTCTCAGCATAGCAAATCAATTTATTTCGATATTCTTGGGAAAGCGAAATTTGGTCGAATGAAAAATAGTCGATACGAAAATTGATCGACGAGAAAAATGGTCGAACAAGTCGTAATAAAAAAAATAAAATAAAAACTTCGAATGTGACGAGTCAGCCAAAGCATTAGAAGAAGAATATGAAAGACGCCATTGGTTAAATGTTCATCACTATAACGGAGTTTTTCTCTAGTGTATGTAGCATATGAAATAGAACTCCTTTTTAAAACTAAAATTACTAGATTCATGTACTTTCATGAAATTGTATCGAAATTAATTCTGATAGAGCTGTGAAACTACGAAAAAAGCTTTTTGACTGTGTGGTGTAACTGTTAGCGTTGGTGTGACTGCAGGTGAGAGTGCCACAACTGGTGTAAATTGTAGTGTGCAATGGGGTTTAAGAAGATCCATACCGACATTCGCACCCGTTTTTTATTTTCATTTTTTCTTCCGCTGAAAACCAACTGTTCTGAAAAGAGGTTGGAGTCCACTTTACTTGCACATAGTACTGCAACAACTATATTAAAAGTAGCAGCGACAGATTATATACTGATATTAATTTATTTTTTACACTGCTGTCGCTCTTATTGAATGATTCTTTTTTCTTAATTACGAATTTTCCGACTATTTTTCTCGTTGATCAATTTTCGTATCAACCAATTTTCGTTCGACTATTTTTCGTTCGACCAATTTTCGTGGACCCAATCTCAATAGATGAATGGATTACCCTGAATTTTTTTACGAATATACTAAAGATTATGAGCTATGATATGTCGAAAACCAGACTATTCTAGCTCATCTAGCTTTTGAAATATTAACAAAACAAAAACTTTCTACTTGCTTGTCGGATAATTTTGGTAGCCACTGTATGAATGAAAAGTATGTAGGCATTCTGTACACTAATAAACAGGTAATGAGACAGTAATGAAAAACAGCCTTGTTTCCATATTAGTCTCTAAAAGAATGAGTTCACTATTAAATCTTAAAAATCTCATATTACATTAAGAGAATCTTTTAGATTTCGAAAAATAAAAATCATTTTATACTGTTCGTATGAATGTTTTTTGTTTCAGAGAAATTCTACTGGTTTTGTATGTTTCATACTCAACCATTTCTTCGTTGAGAAGAATAGCAAGAGCTTCACACTTTTCTCACGAAACCGTCATACCTCTCTACGAGCATAAGAAAGTTTCGTATTTTCCTTATGCATCTCAATATAGATTGGTGGGGGAAAATGAACAGTTCTGTATGATTTGTAGGAAACCTTCGACACTTCCACCAAATAAAAGAAGAGCTTCGTATTTTTTTAAGGACCATACGGTATCTGTTTGATACAGTGAGACGATCCGCAGTGATCTTATAAAACCTTTTGTAAATTCTTAAAATGTAAGACGATATTGTACTTTTCTTACCGAACTAGTTTCACAGTTTGAGAAAAAAAGTTCCGTTTATTTTGTACAAAATCTTCAGTGTCAGGGACTGGTACCAAAGAATTTTTCGACCCTTTTTCTGTGTAGATTGCAAGCAGAAGCTTTTATAGAAATCATCTCCATCAGCTGCATGTTAAAACGATTCATATAAACCAATTTACCTACACGATATAATTATAAAAATTGTAACTGACTAGTGAAAATCCCTCGATATTCCATGATTAGAATGATGTTTCGGCATATCGACCCTTATTACTCACTATTGCAATAGTTAAGAGTCAATGTGATTGACAGTCACTACACTCGATTATCTTTGGAATCAGACTTGCAAACGAGTACTTGATCATCCGGCGTGCCGGTCTGATCTAGGTGAACTTTTAAAACTCACCAATTTTTATCAATTTTTAGAGCATTGAAGCTGGTCTAATTTACTCGTTTTTATCAATTTGCGGTGTTAGTGTGAAAATGGAGTGGTTGACAAAAAGCAACTCAATATCCATCTGCACCTACATTCACACCAACACACATCCACATCCACACGGTAAAATCAAATTTCAAACAAAATCGGAGTGAATAATAAAACTGAATTTTCTACTATCACGCCTGAGTCAGTAATAGCATCTTTTCTCGGTAACAGAATATATGTTTTTCAAACCGATGTGTTCTGTTTTATTCGCCACCAGATGCTGACTCAATTGATGCATCGAATATTGAAAAAAAAATATTCAAACAAAAGACTACATAGGTTCAGAAGAGAAGGTGTCTATGTAATTTTTTTCATCCTTATGGGTTTCGTAGAACACAATGGTTATGTCGAAACTTGTTCACAGTCATTCAAACTTATATGGTAATACTTATTTTGAGATTCTAAATCCAAATTAAATAGTTTCAGAGAAGTACAATAAATGTAAAAGCGAAGAAAAGTTTTGAAATGTTTTTTGAAAATGATCATTTGTTCACATTTTGCATATTCTGTAGTGTTTTCAAAGTTTCAAACCCAAAACTTGATCAAAACACAATAAAAAGTAGATAGTTGGAATTAGTTCGACAAGCTTTATGAAAGCATATATAAATTAATAAAGATAAATTTTTTTTTCTGTTTTTGCATTGGGAATATCATATTTATTCTATGATTTGAACTTAGAAATAGAATACTTTGATTCATGTACGGCTGGTTGTTCGCTGTGTTATATGACTCTACAGTGTATAAAATGGTAGCAATGACTAAAATCAAAACTGTATGAGATATCAAGTTTTCCTTTGCAAAATCTACTTATTGGAAGTTGTTGAAATTTGTTGAAGAATAACTATACTGGCATTGATCGTTTTTTCAGATAATTTTTTTTTTCGTGTACTACCTATTTCATGATGTGATTATATGTAATATTATATTTGTACTTCGCATAGAAAAAAATTATTGATATTTTTACACTTCTCAAATTAAAATTACTTAATTCAAATAATATCCACGAAAATTATAAGCTATAGTTAGTTGTAGCACATATCAATTGGTTTTAATTATATCGAATTTCGACCGACAATAATTGACATACGATTTCGATAGTCAAATAATTATAACTTGGTAATTATGACATCGCAATCAAGCTCCAAGAATCCCGTCATTTGGAAACTGAAGTTTACTTTAGTAATCATTATCATCACAATTATTGTATCCAATATTGTGCACGCTACACAGAGCCGAAAACTACTTAATGATGCTTTCAACATTGATTCACTACAAATGAGAATCTGTCAAGACGATAACAAAAACCACTCAAAATTAAAAAAGGTCATTTGTGATTTGAATCATACGGAATTAAACACAACATTAATAGTAAATGGGACTCAGTCTTTCAGTGATTATGGATTTTCTCGGTTGAGCTCACTTTTTCTTGAAGAAAGTGGTTCTTTGGAAACCACTGTCAGATGTGTTGGTCCTTTACGCAATCAATCATGCCTATATAAAAACTTATACTATATTAATAGTACTTTCATGGTTGTGATTATAAAAGGGAGAGTTTTACCAGTACTTGCTGTGCGTGTCTATTCATTTGGAACGGAAACAGTTACACCAAGTATCCTAGAGTTTGATTCATATTCGAAACTTGAAAATTTCATTCGTGATTCAGCTGATCCTATAGTATTGCCTGGTGTTACTTTGTTTTTAATGTTTCCATGGCTTGGTAATATTGGTCATTCGCTCTTTGATGGACTATATCCTGCCTATGTTGCATTAATTCGTTTTCCACCTAGACATCTTCATCCATTTCGTTTGCTTTGTACCATAGACGAATGTAAAACATGTCGGGATGAAGATATATTCAACAGATTTGCCGCTCTTGGTATTATTAAGCATTATGTTCTAAATGATATGTCAAATGGAAGTTGGTTTGTTTTCGATGAACTCGTTATGGGTGGTGGCATGATGTATCAACGATGCACACAACCAAATCTACAATTACCTGGAGGAGTCGAATTGGATGGTTCTAGACTGTTTCGTGATCGACTCTATACTCAACATGGAGTCATTCCACCAACTAGACGATACAAACATTCTGCAGAAGGTCGAAATCGGCACGATGTACTCCGTGCTTATATCATGAATAATAAACGCTTCACCGATATTGACAATAAAGAAATAACTGCTGCGATAGATGAAATTAATAACTACACTATCACCCATCAAAATAAAAACATAACTGATATCAACAAATTAGATTGGCCACTGATAAAGGTCTTACATGTATATTATGACTCGATTACAGGTCAAAAAAGGAGATCATCTCGGTTCAATGCAACTCCAATAGATGCTAGATCACCAACGTATGAATTGATAGAAGCCGATTTCGCGCACCACTTACGATTATTGCGCACGACGGATATTCAAATCACGGGACCTGGTACAGGTTCAATGTATCAATCACTTGTGCCGGATGGATCAGTAGTCATCAATGTCGGCGGCTTGATACCATTGACGCCAAAAGACCACAATATAACATATACATCACATATGGAACAGTACATGGCATCTGGTGCACCCTATCTCAAGGCTCTCTATTATCCGATTAATGAAAGACCAAAAGGAATAAAACAAGAAGTATTAGTAAAACTCATTCAAGAAGCAGCCAAACTTATCATGAATGGCTTTTCTATACCGGTAAATCCAACAGAAAACTTGGCAGTAGATGGACAATTATTCATCGAAATGTGTGAAAGAGATAAAAAATTTTGTGAACTCGTTACGGCAAGAGCACCAAATACTGATTTTTCTTGTTATCATTTTTGGGTTGAAGAAGTCATTCACGAACGTGGACCTTGGAGGGAAGAAGTTGGCAGTGATGGTATTAGAAAAACTCAGTGCCCATTCAATCAGACATTGATGCGTAGATTAAGAGACAAATATGGCATTCATCATTATGAAATAAATGTTAATCAATCAAAAACTTCTGGTTATGAAATACAAAACTATACTTCAAGACGTGCATTGCACTAGCACGATAATGAATACAAAGAAATATAGGATGATTTTTTTTTACATTTTATTTGCCAAAAACTTTAAATCTATTTCTCAACTAATTAATTGCTGTTCTGATACTGCATAGTTTAAACATGTTGTGATGGTCGAGAGTACAAGTGTATGGTGTGAGGTGTGGGTTTGATTATGGACGTGTGTGGACGTGAGTGAGAGCGTTGGTGTAGTTATGAGATGTCCAGCGTGCCATGATACAGATCTTCACATTATTAAAAAGCCGTCGTCAGATGGCTTTCAGCGTCTGGGTGTACGTGTGATGTGTGAATGTGCGCATTGGTGTGGATATGTTTGCGAGTTGAACATAAGACACTCGCATTCACATCGACACCACATTTTCGTTTTCATAGAAAAATCTTTTTTTTCTCGACCATGGTCTACTTAGATGAGAGACATTCATCATTACTTTTCTTACTTTTCTATGCAGATATAATTTGAGGTGACTCGTTTCTATTAAGGAGAGAACGTCTAAAAGTTTTCTACGATTCTCGACTGTCGAACATTGTAAACATGTCTTTCTCTCAAAATGCTGTACTCCGACAAAAAAAATTCTATTTACGTATAACTGTTTCGAAGCATTTCGCTTTAATTTTCGTTAAGTCTATGTAAAATGGTGAAACTCAGAATGATGATGACTAGTATGACCTTAGTTTCCAACATTGATGGTGAGACAGTTCCGAATATGGATGAATGAGTTTTATCTGATTTTGCAAAATCTTCTGAGAGCCCTACTGTCACTTCAACGATAATGTGTAGTCAATGCAAAAGATAAGAAAAGAAGGAGTTCTTTGAATTATAGATGGTTGGAGAGAACTCACAAAAGTGATTCAGAATATAAATGATTTTTAATAATTTACTTATCGAGTTTTCAGTGAGAAACCTGTCAAAGCAAAAAAACCAACCAAGAAAATGGAAAAGTGATATTTTTCGAAAGAACTTCAAATGAAAGGGAACGTTTTCAGGTCGATTTAATGCAATTGGAGAGATACGTTGGAGTCGCCCGAAACGTTCTGCATCTTTAGATCTCATAAGTCTTCATGAGTAAGGTAAATTTCAGGTTTTGTGCTTGAGCTTTCAGTCATTATGGATCTTGGCAAATGTGTACAGGCCAAGCAAAGTCAATGAATCGTGTGGCAGGCCGTTCTCTATGATTTTTCACAAAGCTCGAGCCATTTTACTTTGTGCTAGTACTACTACTCAAGGTCTAGAATACAATAGGTAAACCAACAGTAGAAAAGCTTGTGCATTGGCCTTTTTCATAGACATGCTGCTTTCCCATATTTGAAAGCGTGCACGATTCAGCTGGTTACGACCTATGTGCTTGTTTCATTTTGACTAAATGATTACCAATCGTGGCGCGTTGGAAAATCTATCAGTATGTGTGAATAAATTGATACTTTTATAACTAAACCACGATTGAATCAAAAAAGAAATAGCAGACTCCGGATCAACATGAAAAATGCATTGGAAAACATTCAGTTCTTTTTCAGTCGTGAACGAAACAGCATACGTAGTTGCGCAATTTCATATAAAAACGAAAGAAAATTTCGAGTACGTACATACATCATACCCAAAAGATATATTCTTTCCTTTCTATTGTAGTACTTGCGATTTATAATCAAGGTCAAGTCAAATAGCGTTACATTTCCTATCTTTCTTCAGTAAATCTTTGATTTGCACATCTCTTTTTTTCTAGTATCACCATCTTTCAGTTTGGCCTCATTATCATGCACAGTCAAAGTACTTGATTTATGTCAGCTTAGTGGATTATTTCGGCAGATAGAAAGGGCACTCAGTAGCACGTTCATGGTAACTTCTAACAATCAATATAATGTTATATTAATTCATAACACTCCAAATTTTTGTCTAATCAATGCAAAAATAAAAATGATTCGACAAACTGAATGGAATCACGAATCTATTTATGATCTATTGTGCAGCACAAAGTTCAAACAAATTTTTCTTACTGGTAATTCTGTTATATTTAGGATAAACTCACAAATAATGATCTACAAGCAAATACTTGACTGGAACTATTATATAAGCTGTACAATTTCACACAACGTGCTTTATCTTACCATCTATCTATCTTGAGAAGTGTTAGCACATCGTTTTTCTGATCTTCATTCACTTAGATTTGTTTTCACGTGTTTGCAGAATGGCAACGTTCAAGGTATGTGTTACAATACTAGGAAAATTGCTTTGGTGATAATAATTCAAATAAAACCAAGTCTCATGTAGAAATTCTAATGACAACAATATAGGTTTGCTTATTTTCGCTGACCATCATAAACACCTTTGGATGTCAACTATATAGTATTTCATCATTCAGCTCTAGCGATTAGTTTGTAAAAGATTCTAGTATGTATAATCTTTTTCGTGTCATTAAAGAAAACGTATTTCGAATGATACCAGCATACAAATACTACCACTCATATAATGCTGTTTGATTTGGAGCAGATTATTTGACAATCGTGACAAAAATTCGTATTAACCTGCACAAACTCAGGTTTGTCACAATAGACAAATTGACTTCTCTGGAATTATGGAAGAAGAATTTGATGGATGATAGTAACGTGAAATTGTCAAGTTTACTCAATGACTATTAAAATTGAAAACTTTTTTTTATATTTATCTTTGATTGCCGAGTTTTTAAATTGATTTTGAAAATTAAAAAGTAATCATCAAATAGGTATTGGATGGGTAAAGAGGAATTCTAAAACAATGTCGACACCGTCATACAATTAATATTCTTTGCTTGCACATATGTGTAAATAATGAAAGTGTAAAATATGCATGTTCACACGCTTAAAACTCACTCTTTCTGCCAATTTTCGCGACCATTTTACCAGGCACGCATTTAAATGGTCAAAGAAAAGACTCTTATGACGCTTAAACGCATTTTCTGGAATTTTTGTCTGTCTGGGATCAGCACAATAGAACAGTTTTAGTGCAGCAAAAATACATAAATCGATTACTTGATCTTGACAAACTTAGTTACTTTTGAAAACAAATTAAGAGACAATAAAAAGCAAAATGAGTGATTCCATATTCTCAGCGTATAATTTTTTTAATAAGTCAGTTATTTGTTTTCATATTCTTCTAAGACCAAATGATATAAAAAAGAAATAAACTACTATTTTTAATCTTGTAGTCTTATTTGCTTTAATATCGTAGATTCATATAAGTAATAAAAATTGTGAGGTAAAATAGCATCAACTTAGACACTATCGATCATAGTTAGCATTGATTTACGTGACTTTTATCTGTCACTTTATATTCTCTAATTTTCTGCCTTCATTCTCTATATTTTATTTCTCTTCTGATTTATTTTCATTTTTGACTGCCATATACATGAAAGTTTTCCTCATACACTTAACTATCTTCATATTTGTCTAAAATTTCTGTTTTACTAATGTTTATGATAATAGAGGATAAAAGAAAAGGGAAACACATCTGAGCACAAGAATGTTGGTATAACACGCACATTTGGGCAAAGATAAATATTTATATTCAACATGGAACAAGATTTTTTTTTCATGTCATCATTTTTAACTGTGATATGGTAGGGCAGATAGATACTTAGTTTGATATGTAATTGGTCTCACTTCTGATCAACGGTCTTTTCTCTTCCCTGTTTTGCGAAATATGATATCAAACTAATGTTAAAATATAAGCGAAGAAACTTCCCTTCCTACATATTGTTGTAGAGATTGATAAAAAAATTCAAGTTAACTCAAACTTGTATAGTGAATTCGACTGAGTTTATGATATAAGTCTGTTTTTATCAAAGATCAAGTATATAACACTTAAACGGCACAATCCCCATGACAGAGACATAACATTAATAGAAGTTATCTGATAAACTCATTTTTCTATATAAACACACAGATATCTATACTGTGTTTTACATTTTACTTCCACAGTAGATTACGAGAACAGCTTTTATTCTATATAGCATCTGTTTTGCATCAACTAAATATTTATTACAAGAACAGTTCAAGTATTTTATTTTAGTACAGCATAGAACTTTTCACGATTTGCTTCAATGAAGACTTTACCTATTTCAATATAATTAATCATTACCACAAATGAGTAACTTTAAAGATTTCTCCTTGTCTTAATTATTTTTGTTAAGATCTCGGCGCTATTGAGTCAACACCCAATTGACAGTATAAGGTTGACGATATACAGATATAAATAAGATTAAAACGGTTAAATCACTAACAGGTTCAAAATAGATACAGTCAAATTATGATGAAATTTACGACGAGGCTCACTTAATATTGAAAGATGTAGATTCTCCATTGAAGAAAATTCTAATCAGTCTTAACTATACTAAAATTAAGTGTTTAAGACATTCTATAAAGAATATTCACTAGAAACTAAAGAGAGGCAATACATATTAAAAGAAAGGAGAAAGATTTTTGTCTGGGGATTTAATTAAGTACTTATATCGATAGATAACCAGTGAAGTAGGTAGACATGTCGTTGTATAGGAAAATCATTAGATAGGTAGGTAGGCAGTTGAATAGATAAGCAGATGTTAGTCAGATATGTAGATAGATAGGTAATTTGATAAGTAGGCAGGTAGTTAGCAGAGATGGGCACAGTTTGATTCGACCTAAAGTCACGTAGTTTAAAGAAGTATTTCGATATTTAATGCAAGAAAAAGAAATTAAAAAAAAGATGTCACAAGTAGAAATGCAAGCATTGAAATATTTTCTCGTCTTTCTTCGTCTAAGAAAAGAAGCCAATTATAGTGTGTAACAAGAAAAGTATTTAAGTTATGATCAATTCTATCAAAGTCAATAGAATTTCAATATTTCTTATTTCTTAACATAAACAACGTAAAAATAAGTAACAACTATACAAATATGGATTTATAAGTATATAATAACCCTTCTCTTATAGTAAAAGATTCCGGGTACTGTGTGATACTTAAGCGAATAAATGTTTCAAAG